ACAATGAATGGATGTCCCCTTGAGGAGGCACTGTTACCTGAGAGGATATTGGGCCTCAAACTTGCACACAACTTCAAGTAGAATTCCTATATACGATCCATTGCTAAAGATACAAGTAAAATGATCAGCTTCCTGTACTGCTCCAGTAAATACCTGACTCCTCATGCTAGCCTCTACCTTTATAAGGCCAGATCAGGCTGAAAATGGAGTACTGTTGCCATATTTGGGCAGGAAATTTTTAAATACTTCCTAAAACATTTGAAATTTTAGTTAAAATCTTGTTTTGTTTAGGTTATCATGGTGGCATAATAATAACATTGACTTTTTTTGTACTTTTTCCATTGAAAACACATTGATTTGTAAATTCTTGTAAAAATCAAATAATTGTCCGATTTTAATGAAATTTTCAGGACTTATTCACAAATGAATGAAATTTTTTTCGAATGTTTTTTTTAAGAAAATTTTGGTAAAAATATATATTTTTCCCTACTTTCATGAAATTTCACAAAAAAACTTTCTATTTCCTGAATTTTTTTTTATTTGTTAAAATTAACCTTGGAGAATCTAAATTACCTAATTTTTTTTTTTTCAAATTTGCACTATTCTTACTGAAAATCTGCTCTGAATTGAAAAATAATGAATGCAATAAAACTATGACATTATTTAATTAAAAAAGCTTTTAATTGCCTTTGTAAATAAGTTATATTAAGGACATTATTGTCTGAAGAAATAAAATTTTTCCAATGAATAATGAATTTTTACAAGAATTTTTCATTTCTTTTTAAATTTTAATTATAATAATTTATAATAGTTTAAAAACATGTAAAATTCTGTATTGGGCTATTTCCTGGATGTGATATAGTAATTAAGTGGAAACAAAATTTACAAATTGAAAATATTAATAAATGTAGTTACGCTATTCTATTTTTAAAATAATTTTTTATTTCTTATTTTTTTTTTTTTTTACTTAATTTGTTCCCTATTTTCATCTATGAAAGTTTAAATGCAACATTATTATGAAATGGTCATGTGATCTAAGAGTTTTGTCTCTTTATAGAGAAATTTCTTTAAGAAAATCTTATATTATTTTAAATATTTTTTATTTTTACATAAAGTATCTTCAAAAGGTAAATAAAAGTCAATAAATTATTAGATAATTGTGGAAAATGTTTATTTGTAAAAATTACTAGGTAGTTAAAAACCAAAAGAAATGAGTTCACTTAGATTTCTTAAATTTTGTATCAATTCTAGCCAGCCATACTAGCTGTCATTGCTTCGTCACACATCGACCATCCATTATCACCTCAGATAAGCTATGATAAGCAGGACCAATCATTAAATAAATAGTTGTATATTACTTTTTTATGCTATAAGTAATATTTATTTCAAATCAGATTAATTTAACTTTAAATTTTTTGATTTTACTCAAATAACATATCAGAAATATATATTTTTTGAAAGACTTTTAAAAATTGATGAATTTTTTTTGTTTACAATAAGGAAAAGAGCAGCTTTTAAGAAATTTGACATTCCAATCTATATAATTTCTATCTGAAATACACCAGAATATTTTACTTACTGGAAATAAAAAATTTAATCATTTAATTTTCAATTAAAACTAAAATGAAATCTTCAAGCAAGAATGCTTTTTCATTTTTAGAAATTCATTCTAAACTTTAGGCATCAAAAATTTATGCCGAAATAGTGGAGGATTATGGATAATAATGGATAATCTGCATCTGAAATAGATGCCCCATTTTTATTTATTAAACAGTCTATTGGTCTGCACATTCAAGAAATCTTAGTAAAGTTTGATTCAGTGCGTGGAGGATGACACAGCAAGCTGAGTGGTAAAGCACATGGGACCAAAATGTAGTTTCCCCTACAAAAAGGGATGCAGGTTTAATCTTTGTCAGGGAATGCATTTTTCTTTACTAAGATTTCTTGAACATGCAGGTCAATAGATTTAATACAAACTTTTTAATAAATAATGACTTTGAAATAATAAAAAGATCAAATTAAAAATAAATCCATTAATTATATGTGTGTGTGTGTGTGTGTGTGTGTATATATATATATATATATATATAATTAATGGATTTATTTTGTATTTTTTTTTTTTATTTTTCTACATTTATTTGTTGTACTTCCAACCCAAAATTTGCAGACACACAGTCCAAAGGTGACAAAAAAAAAAAAAAAAAAAAAAAAAAAAAACAAAACTTGTTGGTTGAAATTGACCAACACACACACATATATATATATATATATATATATATTAAATTCGACCAACAAGTATATATTAGCTAAATTCAACCAACGCAAATAAACGTAGAAAAATAAACAGCCTGACCTTATCAGTTAAATTTAGACAAACATATTCAAAACAATTCCCAGCTGCCTAAATCTACTTTATACACTCCCCACCTTTCATTCCTCACATCCTCCTTTTATTCTTCCTCGTCAAGCTTTTCCTTTCTTTCACTTCCTTCTATCCTCTTCACTGACACCCTGTTTAGCCAAGTTTTGTGTATGATACCCCTTCCCCCAACTGTCTGTTAAGAGCACAAGCAATATTTGTTAAAGCTGGGTGCTGCTACAATTTTGGTAATCCAACTTAAAAGAAAGTAAAGGAAAATTTGAGTAGAGAAGAATTTTAAAGTTGATTAATTTCTTCCCTTATTGAAACATATGTTGCCCACCGCTGTCATTGTGTCCTTGAGTTTTGTCTTTCCTTGTAACACTGGTAGTAGGGCTAACAATGATATCATATTTGAAGATATCACAAACACTTGTCATTCAGATGGATTGCCAGTCTATTTATATATATATATATATATATATATATATATATATATATAAGTAATTTGTATATGTAAGAAAGTCATTATCTTATTTTTATTATAAGAAGAGGAGCAAGAACAATAGCTATCAAAAAAAAAAAAAATTGCAGTCTTCCTTTCTCTGCCAGTTATTTTTGAGAGAAAAAATTCATTTTCAGACAAATTTTTTTATTTGTTTTTAATATAGTAACTAAGAAATTGAGGCACCTTGAAGTACCTGAGGAGAGGCTAACACCTTTACTAGATGCATGAACTGACAATTGGACTTGTTTCAAGCTGAGAAAGGCATGAAAAGAATCAAGATCGATGCCTAAACACGCCTGTAGCTTGGTTTTTGAACGTTATGCTTTGGACATGTTTATTCAAACATTTATTGAAAAAGACACTTTCAGTAAAAACGTATATATACACATTTACACCGGGGAAAGGGTTAACCCACTGTCAGTACCAACCATGGTGTGTTTGATTACCCTCCAGTCCCAAAATGTTTTCCTTAATCTTGAGAAGTTAAATTTTCAGGATTTGTTACGTAACTACAAAGAGTTTTTGCTTTAAGTCATAATATTTGTATGAATTAAAAACTATTTGTTTTCCTGAAAAAGAAAACTTGTTCTTGAATATTTGAACCTTTGAAACTTTCACATTTTTAATACTGGCCTTTTAATTTGATTTTTCAAAATAAAACCTATAATACTATAAAATCAGGGAAAACATTCAAGACAATATATAATAAGAAAATTAAGAACTAAATGATATACCATGATATACTACTGTCCTCATTTTTGTCATTGTTTTGGCTGTTGTGCCCTCCAGCCTCCATTGGGTGTATATCAATCCAGGTAACCTACAGGGAATTCTGAACTGAATCCTTTACTTAAACTACAGGAGTAGACTACTGACATTCCACCATGAACAAGAACAATCTATTCGAGGCTAACTGAAAGGTAAATTATGGAAGATGCTAAGTGATATAATTTAATGTATCATAAACAAAAGTAAGTAAATGTTGTTGCTGATTTTATTTATTTATTTTTTTTTTTAATAATGCAATTATTATTTATATTATTTTAGTCTGGGATTGATTTATGCATTATATATCTTAAAAATAATAGATTTTGAATTTCTTTTAATTTTTATAATCATCTATTTTGGCTTTAGAAAGGAATGCATATATATATATATATATATATATATATATATATATATATATAGATATAGATAGATATATGATAAAATATAGTTTTAAGAAATGCTATAAGTGCTCAATATCAGGGACAGAGTGTATCTAAATATATAAAGTTGTAGCCTCTGTCTGTTTGTTATCAAACTCCTCCATATATATTCTGAAACTACATTAACCAATGTACTTGGATAAGTATATTTCATTTTGATGAAAGGGGGTCCCCGTGGAACCCCCACCCCCCGAATTAAATTTAAATTTGAACAACGGAATGACTCCTATTAAAAATATAGAAGGAGAAAACCAGATGGATGTCACATCAGCAAGATCATTGAGTAATATTGAAATGATTCATATTTCAACTCAAATTATAACAATGATTTAAAATCGATCATCATTTTCTCACAAAAAATGTGTGACACGCAGCAAGGCATGGGCAATTCAGCTAGTATAAGCATAAAAGTGGACATTGAAGTCAACACCCAGAGGCATCAGTCTATTTCACGCTTAACACAATTGTCAGACCTGATGATTGTGTTTAGCGTGAAACAGACTGTTACCTCTGGGTGTTGACTTCAATGTCCACTTTTATATATTATATATATTTTCTGTTTATAGCTTATTTTTATAGCTACAATTTATTTAAGTAAATGTTCTGTTTTTAATTAAATAGTATTAATTACATGTATCAGCTTGAATGTTCAAGAAATTTTGTAGAAAATATGAATTTTCTGACAGGAATTGAACCTGTATTCCTATATGAAAACCATCATTTGACCTGACCTGCTACATTCAGATACAGAGAAGCATCTTATTAGCAAAATCTGAATTAGTGTTTATAAACACATAATCTCCAATGATATATATACTTATTTCTTTTCAAAATCTTTTACTCCCCCATTCCTTTGTGATCACCCTTAGATCCCTTCCTCAACTACCGTCACGTTTCAATACCAAAGATATATGGGTTCACTTACTTGAATTGGTTGCGAAGATCATCAATATATTGGAAATTAGGAGTCAGCCTACCATTTGAAGCGATAATTGCCTAAAATCAGGAAAAAAAACTTACACAAGTATACAACAGCAAAGAATTTATACAATGTCTGTGTGTTCAGACTAATGTGGAATTATTATTTTAATCATTTTGACAGTTAATACTGAATCAAATTCCTAGTAAGTTCCTGTATGTGCCGTGACTGACAGTGCATATAGTAGTCATTTTCTGTATTTGTCAAGGCAAGTAACTGTATAGACTAGCTAATTATTCCCTTTCATACTCCTCCATATCCGCTCCTAACATTGAGTGAAAAGATTAAGATAAATAGAACCAAGCACAGTGAAGATTACTTTCAAAAAGGTCACCGATTTTGCTTTGTAATTCTAACTGATAACAATTTGTAATTAGTCTATAAAAATAAAATATATAATCAAAAATAAAAAGAATTAAAATTAAAATAAGGCATTTGCACTTTCCTTTAAAATCATTATATATTTCTTTCTCTCTCTAAATTACTCTTACTATACTTCTCTCAACATACAAGAAGACAATCCTAATATAAAAAGAGGAAGAAGAAGAGTGAACCCAGCCCAAAATACCAAAGTTTGCAGGAGCAGAGCATACTTATTTGTGACTGAAAAATGCTAAAAACCAGAGAGGCTCCATAACTTCTGTTATAAAAAAATTAAAAAGAAAAGAACATTGAAAAATAAAATAATTTGGCCAATCAAAAAAAAAAAAAAACTGGCACAAAAAAACTTTTTAATGTTAGCTGAAACCAAAATTCCTACCACAAACTCTGAGCCTATTTAAAAAGTTTTAAATTTCTTGCTTTACTTGGTGTATCTTCAAAACAACCACAAACGGACATTCTCCAGACAGCTATCAATATCCACCTTATTGACAAACTTTTTGCTATGTTGAATACCAAATGACTCAACTTATCACTCCAAAGAAAATAAATAAAAATATATTCATTTTATACTCTTGAATCAGTTCATTTTATTTCTGATAAAATAATTATTCTACCACATATCCACACTGGCAATGTTCTGATGTGAACAAATTTGCCATAAATTCAATGCTATTTCATGTTTCATTTAAAATCAGGATGATTTTCTGTAAGTAGCTAAAATCCAGGAGTTATTTCATTGAGGCCATTATATAAGATTTCAGTTGTTAAAACCAAATGTGGAGGAGGGGTTAACAAGCAATTAAACAGTCCCTTCTAAAGAGGATCATATTGTAAACACATGGCCAGGTCACTCGGTCAGTTTTTCCTTGACTGATTAGCTTCTGCTCCATGTCATGCTTTAAAAAAAATGGAAAAGCTCAGTGTACATACAACAAAGAAATTGAAGGTAAGCAGAGAAAAGAAAACACGATTCCCGTTTTCAATTTCTCATGGATTCACCTGGCATGATCTGAATGGGTAGTTAAATGACACTTGGGATATCTGCAGCTATTCCTGACATCTCTCACACACAGATAAAAAGACCAGATATTCCAGTTAGCCAGCAAGAACTATCTACTTCACTTCTTTCTTTAGAGTCAGTCATAGTAAGACCAACTTCAACTCTGTGATTGTCTATCTTTGACCTTGTTGATGTACAGCTTTTTACTGACGTAAACTAGAATATGGTAGAAATGTCACAGGCAGTCAAAATGACGAGAGAGAGATGGTTACAGTAAGAGAAAGTCAGAGTTCTTACTGGCTGACGAGAAGATCTGGTCTATATGTCGTGAGAGAAGACAGAAGTAGCAGTGAAGATGACTCGTGTGTTACCAACTTCTCCATCCTTAGCAAACCATACCAGCTGAATTCATTAATAAATAACCCAATATACCTGAAACAGGATTTGTGTTTTCTTGCATGAGCCGTTTCTAGTTTTTGTTCACAAACAAGATTTTAAACACATCATGGGGGGGGGGAGTTGTCTAGTCAATGGAAGAATGAGCAAGTATGGTGGGTTTATGTTTCCAACACAATCATAAAATCTTCTCTTCTGTCCATAAATAAATCTCTCTTGCAATTATTAGTAGATGGATGTGATTCAGCACAATTGAGACATTTTGCCTGAGATTCTCCTATTTCCTTCCTTATGTGAACTATTTTATCCAATATATATCTGGTATTTCTGTGCCCTCAAATACTGCCTGTAAGGATTTTTGTTTTATTTCCCTTAACACAGTATTTCATGTGTTTTGGTTTATTTTTTAATATTTCTTTTATAGTACAATTACTGTATTGATTTGGATGTATTTGCTTTAACTTTTCTAAATATTTTTCTTTCCAAATAAACTTATTGACTGAAAGGTTAGAGTTTTTTTCTTTTCTTTCAGTGGTTAAAGTCTCAATGTAAAAATGTTAAAAAAAAAAAAAAAAGTACATACATTTTTCACCACATCAGAACCTGTGTACTCCTCAAATGGGGCTTTTGCATTACATTTGATCTGTAAAAGAAAATTAAGACAAGACTAAAGTTTGATTTTTTTTTTCTTAACTAGTTTTCATATTAAATTTCAGTCTGTATTTGCTTAATATTAGTTTGTCCAGTTCCAGTTAGAGTTAGAGTTGCTTGATTGGGCTTCAAGTAGTAAATTGGGCAACATTTGCTACTTTTGAAAGTACAGTGAAACTAAATTTTGAACTGACTTTCTTCTCATTAGTAAGCTCTAGTTAATTTTAAAAATAACCCCAAAAGTCACAAGTGTAAAGTTGACTTAACCCTCCCCCACCCCAACACTGCTGAGTCCGAGACCGGCCATATTTATACACCACTGGTGAAGACCGGTGTTTCGCCATCCCCGGGACCGTCTCACCAATTGTCCTTTTTCTCTACATGTCCCCCGCCTCCTATGACCGCAATACCTATGTTTTGTGGTCACTTGTCGGGATAATTCCAAGTAGTCGTGTGTCGGTCCTCGCATTTGTGGGGATAGTGGTCTTGGTGGCCGTGTTACCCTCATGCTGCATCATGGGGTCGGACTCGCTGGTGTATAGCTGATTGGCTGTTGGTTCTCTTCCACCTCCATCTCTGCGTTGTCTGGCATCACTACGTCATCTTCTGTCGCCTGTATGTTCATTATTTTAGGTATGTCGTATGGAGATTCACTTTGACCTTTGGGGAGGTGGTTGAGAGCGTGGGCGATTGGGTGAATAGTCTGGTGTATCTGCAACTGGCAAGATCTTTCAGAGGAAACGACGATTATGTAGTGTAATTCTGCCGCTTCCGTCTAACCGTATCCGGTATTGCCTGTTGCCCATAGTTTCAACAATTCTCCCTGTTTTTGTCCACCGTCGTGGATATGGTCCCTCTTGATTTTGCACTCGCACCAATTCACCAACCTGAAGCTCTTGGAGTGGTCAGCAGTGCGTATTGTACTGTTCTTGATTTAACACATGCCTTTTCGCCATCGTCCTCTCTCTCAATTCCTTGGTTTTCATCGAGCGTTTACGAATCTGGTGCTTCTTGCAAAGTATGGGGAGGTGATCCTTTATTGCTCGACTGTATAACATCTCCGCTGGTGACAATCCGAGGTCCTGTTGGGGTGTATTCCTATGAGTTATCATGGCTCGTGCCGCCTGATCATGGCGTAGGTGGCCATAACCATCAAGGCAGTCCATCAGCATTCTTTTAGCTGTTTTTACGGCCAGCTCAGCCCGGCCATTGCTCTGGGGATAATGTGCGGACGATATGTGTTTCTTTACACCCAAGTCTCCCAGGAACGACATATTCTAGTGAGTCAAATGGTGGCCCTCCATCTGACGATATCTCCTCCGGTGCACTGTATGTACAGAACCAGCCCCTCAATGTGTCTCATACTGCTGCAGCCTTCCCTGATGGTAGTGGGGCTACTTCAATCCAGCTGGTATATCGGTCTACATATACCATATAACTCTTCCCATGCATGTCAAATAGATCTGTGACTGTCTTTTGAAATGGAAATTCTGGGTTTGAAAGTGGCATTAGTGGTTCTCTTGGCTGGGACGGGGCAACAGAATTACATCTTCAGCATTGCACCCTTGTTTGTCGAATGCTGGCATCTAAACCAGGCCAAAATAATCGTTGTCTAGTGTTAGCTAACATCCCATTCACACCTTGATGAGCAGAGTGCAGTGCCTCCAGTACCTCAGCTCTAAGCTGCTTTGGTATCAGAATTTTGTCCCCCTTTTTGGCCAGAATTGTCGGACTTTCGGCAGTAGCTCATGGCGTGACTCCGGGAATCCATCCTGTATGTATGTTGCTAACGTCCGACATTCCTCGTCGGTGGTCATGGCCACCACGATTCTATCCCAGGCGCATAGTTTTGGATTATGTGCGTACGCAGCTATGATCGATGCTTGCATGGCCCCCTCGATCTGCTGGATTGTGTCGATTGTCTTTGATCTGCAGTGTCCTGGTGGTATCGGGTATCTGGAGGTGCAGTCAGGTGCGGCGTTAAGTTTCCCCGGAACGTGTTTAATTCTAAACCTGTACATTAACGACTGTTCTTTGAACGTAATCAAACAAGGATTCTTTATGTTTTCAAGGACCTGATCTGAGAATATTTTCACTAGTGGTTGGTGGTCCACCGTAACCAGTCAATCTGGGCATCCCAGTAAAAACATCCTGCAAGATTCCAATCCGTATATCAATGCCAGGGCCTCCTCCTCTATAGGAGAGTAGCGAGACTCTGCATCCTTTGTAAACCGGGAGCCAGCCAAAATTATTTTCCAGTGGTCCCTACCGCAGTTTGGTCTTTGAAATTTACCCCTGCTCCATGCAAGGTGTGATATTACTGCTGATCCTTGTTTTCGTCCATGAGACACTTGGCTTTCCTTCCCTCTACTGCTCAGTATTCTCGACTGATATGCCGTCAAATTATTCGTCAACTCCACGGCTGCCGCTATCTTTGGCTTTTGACACACCTTCTTTACGTGCCCAACAATTCCACAGTTATGGCATCGAAGTTCCCTCATCGGACAGTTCTTCCATCCTCTCAGCCCGTTGGGGTGTGATGTCCTTCCACATCCATCGCATGGCTTGCTTTGTGGGGTCCTGGGTGTCTCTTCACCCTGGGATTGCTCCTGCTCTGACCTCACTGAGCCAAACATTGAGTGGTGGCTTAGGCTGTCTTGTAAGTGGGGAGCCGACGTGTCTGTTTCCAAACTAACCGTTGTTAGTATATTAGCTTCAGCTAATAGCTTGCTTTGGTATTCTTTGTTCGCCAGCCCGGTGACGAGTTGGCCAGCTACCATGTCCTCTGAATAATTTACAACTTGTCGGCAACTTTCGTTCGGACCTTAAACAGTAAAGTTACAAAACCTCACCTGAGCTGATAGTTTTGCCAAAGATTTAGTGCTGTCTCATGTTGTGGAATCTGTGTCTGTGTACTTCTTTATGTAGACCTCTTACCGCAAGGAGTCTTATGTGTTGCAGGAGTTGTTCCTCCGTGGTCAATTTGAGGGCTTCGGGTCCTACTAAGTCAAACAATAATCTGTTTACTTCTTTCGAGCAAGCCGTTTGCAATTCGTTACGGATTTCCGCCGGGTCTGTTAGGCCGCACATGTGTTTGTAACGATCCCATGAGTCGGTGAACAGTGCCTAGTCCCCGTCTGTGCAGCTGAGTTCAATGACAGGTCTGTCCGGTTTCTTAGTGTGGGACTGGTGCGATGTATTTTCTCTGCACGCCCGAAGTTCGTTATTCTCCCGCTGTAAACCTATTAGCTGTTGAACCAGTTGCAGGTAATGCTCATTACTGCTTTGTCCTGAAGCCATTTTAATTAAATGTCTGACTGGTAGCAATTACTGATTCAACCTTCTGGTAGGTAAAACAAATCCTGTTCACAGCGCCATGTAAAGTTGACTTAACCCCCCAAGTCCAAGACCGGCCGTATTTATACACCGTCGATGAAGACTGGTGTTTCTCCATCCCCGGGACTGTTTCACCAACTGTCCTTCTTCTCTACAACAAGAAGTAAAATTCAAAATTTAGTAGCACTGAGCTTTCAAAAGCAAACCAATATGATAACCATACATACATGTTTTCCAGAGTAGAAAAATTATGGAATCCGCTATGGTAAAAAGTAGGGGGTCAATTTGATTGTAAAACAAAAGTAATCCCTCTTTTAAAATTTAGAAACACTGAACATTCAAAAGTAGCCCAAGATGGCAACCATTCCTATGTTATTTAAGAGTTGATCTGGTTGGCATGTGGCATGTTCTGTTCAGATAATGTCAGCAAAATACACATGTTTAGGCTTTGGACAACAAAATAAAATAAAACCATGCATTTATGGATAAGCTACATTCATTTTATTCTTTGTAAAGTATAAATGTTCCTTGTCATACAGATTTTATAAGAAAAAATGATTTTTTTAAAAATTACTTAGAAGTAATGCCACTCTGCTACCTGTTTTTTTCTAATCAGCCTAAGGTAGGTGGGGAGGTACTGCCCACTTTGGGAATCACAATTCAAGGTCATAAACTATTAAGTTAGCTGCTGGCTTATGAAATATGGTTAATATTGATAAAAACTGTCCAGATTTGAACTTTAGAGTAAAGAGAACCAAACTATGACTTACCATATCATAAATATGGGGGTAGAGCTGACTACCAAAGAAGTCAGTTGATTCCCTTGGAATTTGGGCTGGCATATTACTAATGGAACAAATCAGAACGCCATCACCTGCAAAACTAAAAGAAAGAAATCACATTTTCACTGTTGATCAACTGGATTTGATTTCAAAACAAAAAAAAAATACAAAAACCTATACTTTATATTACTATTAATAATATGTAAATAACACATATATTAAGATCCATCTGCATTAGCAAAGTCTTTCCAGAAATGATCCAGAAATTAGTAACAAAAAGAATCTCACTAAAATAAACACCAGATCATCATTTGATAGAATCATTATTATTAGGTGTGTACAAAAGTTTCCAGTTCCCTTTTTTATAAGCTAGAAAATATACAGTAAAAGAAATGTTGCTAATATCTGTATACAGACACACACCTCTTTTCTTTTTTTTTTTTTTTAAAAATTCCATGACCATTGAGGGTGTAGACAGTCATGACTTTCAAGATTCTTTTTCTTTATTATATATCCTTGGAAAAGATAATACATTAGTTTACTGTTATCTTCTCCAGAGTTTGGAATTCAGAGTTCATTTAAGTCTAGAGAGCCTAGTCTACACTGCTATTTAATTCATAGCTGGGCAAGATGTGCTACAGTAAGTGTATTTCCATGAATACTTACTAAATGCAGCTTGGCACAAGACCATAATAGTGGTGGGTTATCCACTAAAAAAAGAATTCCTGAACAATTGCTGGCTAATTATTCTTGAGTATGAACTTTTTTTTGTGTAGATAGCAAACTAATCTTAGCCTAGTCTGGCACAAGGCAAAAATAAGTGTGCTCACTATACTCTCAGGTAAGTATGGTAATGTATTTGAACAAGTATCAAAATAAACAAAAACATTGAAGTGGTTGAGAGAAAATTGACCTTCAAACTATATATATCATACTAATGGTGAGTAATTGAATGACAAAATAGAAAACTATATAATGTTTCATCTTTCAAAAAACTTCATGCATGAGACTAAAATAATGTTCTTAGAGATGAGAGTATATGTAGGAATAGAGGCAAAAATATAAACAAAAATGTTGGTTACAATTATTCATTGAGAGAAAATTAAAATTTGAAGTTTATCATCTATTAATCTTCAGCATTCCTCTGAATGTTAACTTATTTATATACAAGTATATATTTATGTATATTTAACTCATTGTTAGATTACAACCCTCAACAATAATCGCAGACAGCATGATATTTAAAAGGCTCTTTATCTTTAATACCTTCCATTCTCACAACAATGTATAATTAAACCAACATATATATATCTTATTTCATCAACAAGAACATAATCTTTTAAGAAGAAAACGTCTTATATAGAATTTTTTTCACTTTGTTATTCAATTACACACCGAGGCACTTATTTGTTTAATGGCATATCAACTCCTTATGGTTCATTTAATGCCAAAATTTAATTTTCTTGGGAGAATTAGTAATTTCATTTATAAAAATGTATTGCTGGCAAATTTTATTTATTGATTTTTTGTATGTATTGCTAGTATATTTATACTTTCCTAGTGTTTTGACCCCCGGTTTGGGAATTAACTATTTGCTCATAGCTGGGACTGTAACAGATGCTACCACCCTAGATCATGGTGGACCTGTGAACAACAGCAATTAAGAAGTGGTTCCATGAGTTATTTGTTTTTTTTACAGCTTAACCCTTTGCAGGTTATTTAAAGCCAGAAAATATTTTTATATTGTAAGTTTTTTTTTTTTTTTACGAGAATGATTTAGTGATACAAATCTTACTAATTAATCCATAGCTAGAGGGAGAAGTGGTGGATTCATACCTTTTTCAAGGTTATTTGTGTGTAAGTGAATATAACAAACCCAAAAGAAATTGGAATTTGGTTCTCTGATGAACGATTCTGAGCCATTACACCACCCACACATCCAAGTTTACAGCAACTGGTATTCTCAAGTGGATACCCATCTAGGTACTTTGCTTTTCATTTCAAGTAATTTAGCTTTATAAATTAATTTCCACTGTATAAGTATAATGATGAAAAAATAAGGTGACAATTCAAAATAGAAAGGAATGGGAGAAACCTAAGATTGAAGGAGAAGGAATATATAAAAAAAACTCCTGTGTTTGTAACAAGGAGCGTAAGTCTTTATTGTTGGTATCAGGAATTCCAAGAAGCATTGATCTGGAGAATGTTAATAAAGAAAATTAACCACATATTAGGTGGTTCAGCTAAGAAACAATGTTGGTTTGGTGAAGAACTAATGGAGATCATGCAAGACCAAGGAAACTAGTCAACAGTATTACAGTTTGCTCGGAATAATAAAATAAATAAAAGTAAATGCAGTTTAATTTTTAAACAAAGATATAGCAACCGAGAAAATTTATCATTAAAAATTTGTTTTTTTTTTTAAGAATTAATATATTTGTTTTTATTCAAATTTTTCATTATTTCAAATGTTATTTTTAGTGGACAGCCATATTTGAAATAGACAGGTTATTTTTAAGTATGTATCATGTCTATCAGCCTGCGCACTTGAGAAAATTTAATAGTAGCAAACTTGAACCTTTGTGCACACTCCCAAAAAAGGAGTGTCAAAAGGATGTTTTCTCCATTGATACCACTATTATTTTAACTACCTTCACTTCTCAGCAATGTTTATTTTTTTTAAAAAGTGATGATTAGAATTGTAATAAAACAAACACATGAAAGTGAATTTATACATTTTCTTTATTCTTGAGAATTGACAACAAAAATAATAAACATTTATTTATTAGGTTTTTTATTTATACTATTTATAATATTGTTTATTGTAATGGTTGACAAAATATCAGTTAATTGCCAACTAATTCAAACTTTATAAAATGGTAATAAGGATTTTCTTATAGTTGGTTCACATATTTTAATAAGTAAATGTTTATAAATTTATGAATAAAAATTGTTTTCACATTTATTTCTTTATAAATTGGTTAATGATAAATAATGCATTGCATCATTTTTTTTAGTATTTTGTAAATATAAAGTTATTTGTAAATAAACCATCTAATAAATATATAATGATTTATATTTTTGTTGTAAATGCTCAAAGAACAAGGAAAATGTATAAATTCACTTTTATCCTCTGTTTAGATTTTATTACAACTCTAATCATCATTTTCTAAAACATTGCTGAGGAGTGAAGGTAGTTAAAATAATAGTGGTATCAAAGGAGAAATCTTCCTTTTGACATTTTGTGGGCATGAAGGTCCAAGATTACCAAAAATGTACTCTCCAGCAGAGTTCTTTAAGTTTTCAAGTGTACAGGCCAATTAGCATAATAAACACTGTTTAAAATAACAAAGTGCCTATTTAAAACATGGGTATCCACTAAAGATTATGTTTGAAGTAATAATATTAATAAATATAATTAAACAGTAATAATATTAAATATAATTAAACAGTAATAAAAACATTTTTTTTATAAAATCAAAAGTAACCTTTAACTTCCAATAAAGAATCTCAAATACTACAATTCTGTAAAACTTTTTAAGGAAAGAAAACAAAAAAAACGATAGATATGTGTGAAAGTGTATATAAACTTTCTTTTTAGTACTGCTCAGTTATTGCTTGTCCTGTTTCCACAGACTGTACTACTTAGCACAGGGATTGAACTCACAATTAATGTTACCAAATTTACAAATCAAAACTTTAATTCATGAGGCTATTGTTCCATGGAGCAAGATGAGATATCCCACAACATGGCAGTGGCATAGCTAAGTGGGGGCGAGGGGGGGGCGGACCGCCCTGGGTGCCAGCACAGGAGGGGTGACACAATGTCACCCCCAACAAAATTTTTCAACCAGGCTAAGGTGCCAAAAATAGTCTGAAAACAGTGGTGGAGACACAGGGTTTCACAGGCAGGCATATGACCCCCCGGAAATAATTTATGACCACCCAGTTTTGTCCCCCACGTCAGAAATTTTCTAATAAATTGTCGGGAAATTTGTGAGTAGGAAAAATAGCAATGTTTTCAGCTTTCATGTGTTTCAGTTGCTACAATGTTGGTTACTAACAAGAGACATTGTTGTAACATTTTATCGGATGATATGGTGTTTTAACTCTGCATCATTAATAACAACAAAGCAAAATACGAAGCCAAAAGTGCAACAATTTCAGTCTTGCCTGTGTATCAATTCGCTGAGATACAATTTTCCATTGAGTGAGCGATATACTTTTGAATATATCTACTAGTGTTGGGACAATTAATCGGAATCGAGAATCGGAAAAATCAGAACTTTTTGAGTTATCAGAAAAATTTGTGCCTATTTTCCGATTCCAAAAACGATTCTTTTAAATTTTTAACTTAATTTTCCATTATTGATACTAATGATAAATATTTATTGGTTTTAAATTATCATTAAAACTAAAATCATAATAACATCAAAATACGATGTATACTGCGTGCCAAATTATTATCGAGATAACTTTTTTCTAATATTTCAAAAACCGTCAAATCAATTTACACAAAATTTTCACACAATGTTGGCAACACTGAGCTGCGCAATCACTGAAATTTTCGTACTGATCTGCCCAATGTAAACAAACTGGCGCCATATTTGTTATCAGCACGGTGATTTGAGTGTGCCAAATTATTAGAAAAATATAAGAATTTAGTGAAAAAGCAGTTTAAGTGATGCTGAAAAGAAAACTATTACCTCAGAACTCTCAAAAGGTAAATCTACCCTAGAAATTTTTAAAATGATAGGGAAGTGTCATCAAACAGTGAAAAATTCACCGCTGACCCTACACAAGTACGCAAAAGGGCATATAAAGGCAAGCCGAGGGTTATTTCACGTCGTCTTATGTCATGACTTAAAGGAGAGGCCGCAAAGAACCCTGGACTTACCAGTCAAGAGCTTTTCAGTCGTATTCGGGATCCTACTGTGTCTAAAAGTACTCGGTGTCAGTATCTGAGGGAAATAGCAACAACAGTCAAACCTGTATCGAAGTCTTTTTTGACGAGAAATCATATTCAAAATCAATTGAAATGGACTGAGGACAATATGAAGATTGACTTCTCTAAAGTTTTGTTCACAGACGAAACTCAAG